AGTAAGTGAAGGAATGTAAACCAATTTATAGTGGTTCAATCTTCCCTACCTATGTTCACTCCTGATTCCTCTTCTCTCGAGGCTATTAGCTTTTACTACCGATTTTCTTTCCAATATGCAAAGATCGACTACCCTTGTTATAGCTTTTCTCTTTTTTACTAGTATAAGAGAGAACCTTTACACTCACTCGTTTACAACACATCTTTCACATCTTACAACTTAGTATCATAACTAAACTTAAGAGAGAGAAAGAGACCCAAACAATGTTTAGAGAGATAGAGAGAGCTATAGTACTTTACAAACTCAGGAATAGATAATCTATCAATGAAGCTTGAGTAAGGTATTTATAGGCCCCAAAAGATTTCAAAAATAGAGCTAAAAAATTTAAATCCTCAAAATTTTGAGATATGGGAAGTATTATTGATGACACTGGGCGGTACTACTATCACAATTTTGGACTCTAACGGTACTACCATAGCAAAATTTAAATTTTAGGTAATGTTTGTCGGTTAACTCAAGTGGTATTATTGCTCGGCCTAGTAGTACCATCACTCATGCCTACTTTAGGCTATCAGTTTGGCTTTATAATAAGCCCAATTCGATTCAATTTCAAGCCTAATGACTTTCTTGATAAGTTGACATTGTTTCAACCAAATATCAACTCAAATTAACCCAAAATGATCATGATCAATATTTTAACAAATCAACCACATATCCAGCATATTTACAAAACTTTCAGCATATTGTATGCTCTTCCAAAATATCGTTTGATCTTTCGGCATTTCATCCGAACCTCCAATACATCATCTTTTCTTTTGGCATATCACCCATTCTACTAGTATGTTGACTTTCCCATGATATCCAATCTTCTGGTATAATATTCAATCCTTTTGGTATGATTCTTGAACCTATAGCACAAAGTTCGATATTTGACACATTGACTAATCCTTCGACTCGACATCCAATGTTTGGCACAACAATCTTTTGATGCAACATCCGATTCTCTTGCTCGATAGTTAGCCCTTCACTGATCCAAGTTCATGATCAATGTACTTCCTACGTCATGTATCTCAAAAACATATTTAATCTAATAAACTCATCAATTAATTTCATCGTTAAATTTTGAGATTCAACAAACACTTGGTGTGTAAAGAAAGAAAATAGAGGAAGAAAAAATAAGGATTTTAAAAGGTAAAAGAATAATCATAAGTCTACAAACTCATCAATGGGTTGGATAGGGCTTTGGTTATATGTCCGAGGGATGGTGTAATATCTTTAGTATTCTTACATTTTATTTGATGAAAGTACTAGGTGAAGATTGGGCTTATACCTACCTTTGGAACCCATTTTATATACGACCATTTAGCTAGTATCGAAGAGTCTTTTGTGTCTAATAAAAGTTAGTTGCTTTGTATTGCTTGTGATCCTGATTATCTTACCTTTTTCACGAGTAATGATAGCATATCATTTAGACATTTTCCTTTATAATATTTCCTTCTATGTAGGTCCTTTGTAGACTACATAAGGTTAAGGTATAGATTGACCTTCGTGGACGAATATCACTTAGGTGTCACACACTTAAGGTAATTTCAGCTAAGATCGCACGCTTTAGGTAATCCCAACTAAGAACATGATAGCTGGGGACTCCTAATCGGTGAAATATTCTCAATTCGAATTGCTTCGGGCTTGAGTGTTTAGACTTGCAGAACTTGGACTTGAGATGGGTTGATTGTCCCTCATCACATATCTGTAAAAGTTTTTAGAATTATTTTAATCTCTTCATGAGTCTACATTTTTTTTTAAATACTCTCTTTCTGTTTTTTTTTCTTACAATGCAAAGATTTTTTTTATCCCTTCGGCTTGTATGGTTTGGAAATACAACGGTGGAAATACAAAAAAAAGTTGGGCTTTCCTTCATTTCATATGTACAGTTATCTATAGATTATCAAATCTAAGATGCATGATTCTGTGCTAGATTCTTAGATACATCATGACGCAACGCATGTTGACAGCGATCTCAAGGCTAGAAGAGCCAGTGGTGATATGCTGAAAAGGTGCCTAATATTTTCTTTAGACAGGCTTTTATATTTGTCTGTGTAGAGTGCATGCACTTGGGGAGCGTTTAGTTACCCGTAAGTGGAAATCTTGCAAACCTATTTGTAGCAAGGAGTCATTTGCAGACATTTTACTGTCCGCAAGCAAGCCATTTACAACATATGAACATATAATTAAACTTATGATTGAAATATTTCATCTCATAGTTGCAGGATGAATCGTAAGTCAAAGCTTAATTTAATTATTTCTTTGACTTTCTCTTCGCACTTTGTCCCCTTCAACTCTATCGCGTTCACAGTTGTCTATCCTCCTCTTGGTTCTCTTCCAATAACTGCAAGTATCAACCATACATTTAAGCATTAAGCCAGCTGTTCTTCCAGTTACTACTTGCAGTGTTTAGTCCCGGTGAAGATAGATAAAAAGACAACCATACATTTGATTGCCGACGACCTCCTAATTGTAATCTGTGTGTCATTTCCCTTTGATCCCTTTGGTTCTATTTCGAGGTAAGCCACTTTTCTCTATTATCTTGGTTTGCTCCTCTATCTCCATTTCTTTCTGATAGCAAATCATACAAATAACAATGAAAAGAGTTTCTGTCAGTCGTCCTACTATGTTACACTGTTTCTTGAACAGAAAGCCTTGTCCATTATTTTCTTCATGTAATGGTGATCTTAAGAGGTTTGATCACTTTTATTGTGGTTTAAGAGATGTTAATGTTACAACGGAAACAATCTAATCATCTCTTGCTTCCAAATTTGATTTCTTCTCACCATCTCCGGGTTTTGGTTGAAAAGCTTTAGAAATTGATCAATGATGTGTCTGTCCAAGATAAACTCGATCAGGATTAGTATATATCAAATTTAGCACCAATTCAATTCAGAAACTTAGACTTTTAGGTTGTGGGTCAAATTCAGTAATCCATTTCTTTCAAACCTTAGACGATGTGTGATTCTTCTTTTAGTCTTATCTCCTTTCCTATTACACATATAAATATTTCTCTAGAATTTATATTATATTATATTCAAAATTCTCTAGAATTTTGAAGAAAATTTAGCTTAGTTTACCATCGGGCAAAAGATATCTCAGTACATGATTTAATGTGATTCTTAGTAGCGTCGTTCGAATTCGTAAACAAAGTGGAACTACATCGAAGCAGAACAAGCAAGAATAAGGTAGCCAGTGGCTTTTCTTCCTCAAACTTCTGGGCAGCAGAATCTAGAAAAGACTTGGGATTTACCATCCACAGCTTGGATTCTTGGAGATTTGAATGTGTCAAGCTTGATGAAACTTTTAAATTCAGGGACTTGAATAAGTTCAAAAATTGGCATAACTGCAACACAATGTTGATTGATCATTGAACTTTTATGGACTCAGCTGTCATAAGCAGAAACATTCAGACTTTGAAACTCTGGACACATCATGTACCTCATATGTGTCATGTACCTCACTTCATGAGCTGAATGAACAGGAAGTGGGAAGCTCAGATCGTATTTCCCGGAGTAGTAGAAGAAGAAGGTCCAGATTGTTCAAACGATGCAGGGGAAGAACAGCAGGGGAAGTGGACCGTCGCCGCTGGTTCCCGTCTTACTGATCCTGATCTTATGCTTATTGATCGGTGGCCCTGTCGCATTCGGCATTACAGCGATGCTAATTAGAGGAGCAAAAGTGGAACCGACGACCGGTAACTCTCCCTTTCTACTCATCCTTGTCATCATTCTTCTGCTGGCAATCCGTGTCCTCGGTGCTCTATTCCCATCTCACGGTGCTCTTGTGAATTCAAGCAACCAAGTACGGCAGCTAAGATGAAGAGGGGGGTATGGACTGCCAACTCTAGTGCTCTTGCTGCAGCAGTGCAAGCGGAGATGGAGCTCTTTGTTTGAATGTTTGATTTATTTTTGTGTGAAACCAATTTACATAAGTAGGTAACTTTGAATTAACAGCTAATGTATAATAACTGTTTACTATTAAATAATAATAATAATAATAATAGTCGACAATCATAATTAAGAATTTGTGAGTTGTAGATAAAATTGATCTTTTTAAATAATAATAATAATAATAATAATAGTCGACATAACGGTATCTCATATTTCTAGTCTATGGATAAGCCTTAGCCACAATGAAGGGATATATGATATCTTAAGGTTGCTTCTAAGATCCAAATCTTTCTTTGAAAGCTTTGTTGAAATAGACTACCCATTTCATCTTCCACAGCCAAATTGATCCTTGTCAAGTCTGCAAATTATCTGCTGATTCACCTCTGGATATTTTGTTCAATCCTTTTAGGCTTCCATCCAGCCAAAAAACAGATCTCACTTTTCAACTCTCCCCTCCCTCCCTTCTTGGTATAAAGTTGTTCTCGTTGCTAATGACTATATAATGTCTCCCCAAATTCTGAGATAATGTTGGAGGACTCTATGGATAACAGCCAGATAAGGGTTAGCTTCATTCTGCAAGTGGATGGCTCATTTGTGTCATCTTCTTTTCCTGTAGGTTGTAGATTTCTTCTCAAAGCTGCGGATAGTGAGCGGCTGTAGCAAGGCATCAAAACCCTTCGATGGCAGAAACAATTGTCCTTCTGAAGAGACTTAAAAGCTGTCGAGTCTCTCCAACCACCTTGCATTGATAGCAACTCTGATTGCTTGGAGAAAGTCAACAGTATCTTTTTCTTTTTTGATTCGCTACATGTTCTAGGAATTTACCATGTTCCTAGAGCAGATAATTTTGTAGGCCATGCCTTTGGCCAATTCTGCAAGATCGTAACTTTCCAGTTTTATGTTTTCTGGTGCTGATCTTCTTGCTGCTCAGTTACCTTTTGTTCCCAAAGTAATGGGTTCCGCAGCCAATCGAAAGAGAGAGAGAGAGACCGTATCTGTCCATATTCCCGAAAGTCCAAGCAAGCTTCGACTTCATTTCCTATTATCATCTCCACATATTAAGGTAATTTGTCTGGATCTCTGTCACGATTATACTGATAGCCGCTGGTATAATGAGAGAGAACACGAATTATGAGCGACTGGTGTTTGGCATTTAACCCCCCACAGATTCTAAAAGATGCAATCGTCCCTTTGTTTGTTTCCGAAACGAAGAAGACCATGGGATCATCTGACCTCACTTGGTAGAAGAAAAGCCACATCGACCATGACAGCTTGATACTTTAGAAAAGGGCTTAGACGACAGAACAACGGCTTCGCACAACTGTTGCTTCTCCTCCTATAAACTCGCGCGGCCTCTCTTCCTCAATATCCCACGCATGCTTCTTCCTTGTTAATTCCCAGCTTGCTTTAGAAGGGAAGGGAGGTTGCACAGGAGCGACCTCTCATGGCTTGCTCCCCTCTGGGGTTCGGCGAGAAGTACTACTCGCTGTCGAGCGACGGCCAGTGCGTGAGGCAGAGTAGCTTCTTCGGAGGCAAGCCAGTTCTCAATCAGGGCGTCGGCTACGGCGTCATCCTCGGTTTCGGGGCTTTCTTCGCCGTCTTCACTTCCTTGTTGGTACGCCTTTCTCTTCTTCTTCCCCCGTTGACAAAGAGGTGCCATAAGATAAGGTGTTAGTTTGAATGATTCCTACTTCGTGTGGTGTTTGTTTGTGCCTTAAGGTCCATGGAAGTGGGTCCAAATCGTTGATTTCTATGCGATTACTTGCTTTAGTTTCTCGCATTCTTCCATGAACAATAATTGAGTATAATGATTCCTCCTTCGTGAGGTGCAATGCAGATTGTAGAAGCCATCGGTTTTGATCTGTGGTACAAATCCTCACTCGAATCTACTACCTTCAGTAGATCACACCATGCGAAATCTGCAGTAGGAAGAATATTCACTAAGACCCAAGTATTTCCTTCGCATTAGAAAACAGAGAATAGGATCTGTTTCAAATTGGCTATAGGATTTTTATACGTTCACTGCTCATCTCCATTTGATAGCTTCATTCCATCTCATCTCATATCTTGACATCCAACTTGGAATCGACAATTGGCGGCGCATTTGGCCACATCCATCCTGTACTCCATCGCCGGGAAGTAGGCGTCTGTCAGTGTCTCAAGCACCACATAAAAATGTGATGGGTCCTTTGATGATGGCATACTTGCTGAGACTTTTCTCATAGATTCTTTGTAGCTTGAATTCATGAATCAACAACAGTCCACCAGTGTTATAAACCTCTTAAAGTTGATGGCATGATGCACTCAAAAACTATCGCCTTGGATATTATTTTCAGATTCAGGAGTTCATTAAAACTGGAAATTTTCATATAATATCCAGCAAAGGAGTGTGTGTGACACCTACCATGAATGAACACTTTTTCTTCATGCATCATTAACACATTTTGTGCTGAATAGGGTGCCTAAAGAACTGCTAATCACTGAAACTTGCCCTTTTGGGAGCGTTGACTAAGAGTTTTAACAGTTTTCTTTTCGAGAGTTGACTTTGGACTTGATATTTGCGTCCAGTTTTGGTGATGTATCTTTCAAACTTGTCATTCAATTCTTAAATAGCTATGCTCTGAGATAGTGACTGACAGTAAGGTGTTGGGAGGAACGTTCACATCCTATCTTGGTCAACTTCTGAAGCCTTCAACTTATAATGTTTGCTTGGCTTTGTTTTGACTTTTGAGGGACAAACTAGAACAGTGCTCTCTATTGATGCAACCACCGAAGTGAAGTCTTAGGTGCCTTCCATATATATCACATCGTTGTATTAAGATTGATTTATATGTCATTGTGACATCCGTCAATCACTAATTACATCCAAACGACTTGGGATGTAATTTTTGGGATGAAAAAGACCATACATCTCAAAGTTAGTTGATATTTGGATGAATTCTTAGGATGTAATTTTTTTTTTTCTTGATGAGTATCTGTTTATTTTTCTTGGGATAAAAGTCATTCCAAAAAGAACAAATCAAAAATACTCTCACACTTTTATTTTAGATTGGCGCAATGAATCGATCAGAATGAACCGAATTACAATATTTTTGATAATATTATATTATTTTGATACAGAATAAAAAAATATCATTACTAAAGAATAAATATTAAAAATATAAACTAATTTATCATTAGGATTCTTAGAGCTAATGTTACAAGAATAAGAAGAAAATTCTAATAATTAGGATTTAATTTTTTTATAAATATCTTATTTATTTCTAGTTTTGATGAGAGAAAAGCAAGATGTGAGTAATATTTTGATGCTCGATGGTGAGAGAAAATATATAATTTTTTTGGAGTATATATTAAGGGATATGCAAAAGAAAAAATTTATGTTTGAATAACTCAAGGGTTGATTCCACTGAAAGAAAATTTATGCTTGAATGAGGATAATTTAAGATCTTGTAGTTGATTTTATATAATGATGAATTTGATTTCATGAATGTAAGATAAGGATTTATCCAATCACATTAAATCTTATGTTAATTTTTTATTACATTATTTATTTATTGATCTCCGATGGATTTCTCTTTTAATTTTGGTTCCACTCTTCTCTCTTCCCAACATTACTTGCAAAATATGTAAAAACTTGAGATTTCTATGTTAATTATAGTATTTTTTTTAGTAGAATTATAGAATTATTATGTTCTTGCCCCATATACTAAAATATTATTAAGCCTATACCAAGGAGAACTAAATATATTTTTTTATTAGTTTAAGAACAAAGACATAAAAAATTTGATTTGTGTGCTTTTTAATATGTTACAGTGTCTTTGGCATATTGATAAAAATAATATATGAATTATTATAATTGAACTAATTTGCTTTCTGAATCGGTTCATGTAATTGAACAATATAATGTAAAGGATGAGAGATGTCTACGTATTTTTTGAAAATAAAAAATGAGCATAGTCTAAATTAAGAGGTTTTTTCCAAGAATTAATAGTTTGCTGATTGTAACACCCTTGATTAGTTCCACGTCGAAAGTGGGTAAGATTAAGATTGACTTATAAGGATACGATGAGTGTATTACTATTAACTTCAGCTTAAACATTTTGGTCGGTGGTTTAGACCAAACGAAGTTGATAGACCAATTAACCCATTAAACCCAGATTCATGATATTTGGTATCAGAACCTAGCATTTGAGCATGGTGAAAAGGCTCAAATAGGAAAAAACTACTCGTAGACTATCCGGTTGATAGCTGTGTATGATCGAACATAGGCAACGTCAAAAGCAATAATATAGTGACGACCCAATTCGTTGACAAACCAAATTGATGCAACTCATGTTGCTTGGGTGGTCACGTTCCAACCCAACCTAAACTTTAGGTTGTTTTAGTAGATTGATTTGTATGAGAATGCAAGCGTTGGATTTAGGGTTAGACCAGGGAATAACAAATAGTGGTGTGGTGATAATAATTGCAATACCAACGATTGATGAAGGCATTTTATTGTTGTGTGTCAAGGTGTGGCTGGAGAAGCGGTATGTGGGATCCCGTCACACGTCCGAGTGGTTCAACACCGCCGGAAGAAATGTCAAGACCGGCCTCATCGCCAGCGTCATTGTGTCGCAGGTACTCCTAACTTACCGAGTTCAGTCCCCTTCTTTCTTCCTCCCCGTGCCTTACTGGAATTGGACATGGCAGTGGACATGGGCAGCGACCATCCTGCAGAGCTCCAACGTCGCCTGGGAGTACGGAGTCAGCGGCCCTTTCTGGTACGCCAGTGGTGCTACCATTCAGGTCAGTCATCTGCTCCCAAACCCCAGCCCTCACCAGGAGGGTCTCAGTGTTTCAGTGAAGATAAAAGGTTGCTCCTTTTTGTTCATGAATAGGTGCTCCTGTTTGGTGTCATGGCCATAGAGATCAAGAGAAAGGCACCCAGGGCTCACACCGTTTGCGAGATCGTCAGAGCACGGTATGCCGTAGAATCGACAGGGTTCTTTTGATTAGAATCTATTTTCTTGCGATTTTTTTTTCGATGCGCTATTTTGCGACATGTTGATGCAGATGGGGAACTGCTGCGCATGTTGTGTTTCTGGTATTTTGCTTCATGACGAACATAATTGTGACTGCGATGCTGCTGCTCGGCGGCTCCGCGGTTGTCAATGCACTCACTGGTGTGAATATCTACGCCGCGAGCTTTCTGATCCCTCTCGGTGTTATTGTCTACACGCTAGCTGGAGGGTTAAAGGCAACCTTCTTGGCCAGCTACATACACTCAGTCATAGGTATGCAATCTGAAGTTTCCTTCTTTTATGAATTGGAACAATAAGTAGATGAGAATGAGTTTGATACGGACTAACAAAAAATTTAATATACAGCCTTCCTTCTTTTGGATGAATATTAGCTCTGCGTTACTCTCTGGTTATTGTCATAAAAACTGTAGCATTGTCTTTTTGGTCGTGAATCTCTCCTGTAATCAAATGTTACAGAGGAAATAGAAGGTCTATGTTGCCATGACCCTTGTAAAACTTTCCTTTCAATGAGATACAGATATCTTCATTGACCAATTTATCTTTTTGCCAATAGGGAGATGGGTGAATCCAAAATGAACATGCAAAAGTAGAAGGCGAGGATTATGATTAGTTACGGCCTGAAATATAGTGACCGTGCCTTAATTTTTCTTTGAGGCCTGAAAGTATAGTTGATTGGGTTAAAAATGTTTGTTCACAGGGATATTAATGTTTTGGTCTGCAAAGGAACGACACAGGGCCCGAGAATCATTTTAAGATTCCTGGAGTTTCAGACTATTTATCTCCCACTTGGATTCAGGTTTGTTCTGACAATGTTTTGTGCTAGGATTTATGATATTATAAGGTAGTTCCAATCGAGGAATTTGAGGGGAAATTATTCAAGATTAATTGGACATGCCAAAATGAGAACCAAAAAGAACATACTCTATTCAGAATAGAATTGTCAGGATTTCCACAAACAGTATAGAATAATTCTTTAGAAGCAATCAAAAAGAAATGTGACCTTGAATTGCTAGTGACATCAGAAACTTTAATGTTGAAAAGGATCATGTAGCCGACCCCATGTAAGCTGTTACTTTGTTGTGCTTGGTTCATGTGCATAGAACTTAACCAAGAATGAAGTCGTTAGAGAGTAGGATATGTATGAACTAAGAGTATTAGTAGAAAAATCATTGTTAGTCAATGAGGAGAGCTTACCGGTCCACACAGCATATGGAACATAATGAGGAGCTGTAAGGGTTTCTGCAAACTTATTTCTTTACTACCAAAACTTAATGACTAAAAAATTTAGACTATAATAAGCAGTGCCAAAGGAGGAAGGTACCGTAATATGTACTGAATTAGAAGAAGACAAAGTTTTTTGTATTCAAGTCTTCCAAGTCAAATTTAATTTTCAATCAGTTGCCTCAACTACTGAATTTTCACAGAATGAACACATTACATGAACTTGTCAAAGGTAATGTCCAAAAGGCATTTTGAAGTCAGGTTATCTTTAAGAGTACAATTATCAAGGATCACCAAAGGGTAAGAATAAGGGGCAAGATCACCATGGTATGAGATAGGAAGGAATAAATATCAGTAAATGTAAGATACTTCGAAGATAACAGTGGCTGAATAATGATATGGAGCCATCACCCTTCTTTGTCAACATGCATTTGAATTCAAAAACCAAGCCAACCTTGAGACCCGAGTAAGTAGATATAACTTAGGTTCTGATATTGAATTAATCTAAAATTAATAATTTAGTTTGGTGTATCACTTGGAAAGGAAAGGAAAGCAGAGGAGACAGCAGAAGATGGGGCTGGCACTGGTTTATGTCCTCCAGATAAGCTTTGTTCTAGTCCATAATCAGATTGGCCATATCTCCTTATGGACGCTCGCCGCCTGAACATCCATTTACCTTTTATTATATGTTTTATTTGTAGCAGTCTTTTAGCGTTGGGATTTCTTGTTTGATCCTTCTATCAGCAAATCAATGAAGTTCTTCCTTTGAAGAGCTAGGAGGCACTGTCATAAATAGACCCAAAAAAAGTCTACCATTGATAGATCCATCTTATATTACCAATTTTAAGTGTGTGTTTATTATTTCAATGTTTTATCTTCAATCTTGTTTAGTTTTCATAGTCTGAGACTCTGAATGCTGACAGATTAGAAAAGGATAAACAAGCAAAGAGGCATAGACCAGTATAAAAACTCATTCTTTTATCCATAAAATATCTACTTGATTTTCTTTATGCCATTGCACAGAGAATTGTATTTCGATTTTTTTTTCTCAACTGTAGAATTAGTTCCCTAGAGATTTACACTATAACTTCTAGATTTTATTTTTTCTCATCATCTTTCTTAATGAAAAGCTTAAATTTAGTTTATGTTAGTTTTCATGATTGGTTCTGATTGTCATTTTATCTGTCAAATCATGTCACAGAGGAAGTGTACCTAGAAGTTGGAAGTTTCCTATGTATAATTTGCCAATGATTTGTAGGAATCAAATGGGAGTGTGGTTCCATGCACTAAATTAATATTAAATTGTCTTTCTCTTGATGATATCAAAGGTTGTGACCATGGCCGATTTGTGTCTGGATGCATTAAGTCAAGCATAGCCATATTATATCGTCAGGCCTAAGATTTGGTTGCACCCGTCTACATGAGATGGGTTCTGGATAGGTTTCTGTTCATGTTACTTTACAAATGTATGATCATCAAAAATGAGAAATTTGAACATTAAATATTAGTTCATGCCTATATAGGCCTTTAGGCTGTTTTTTCTCTTTGGCAAATCTAGTATCTGCCTAGCACAAAAGCAGTCCGATCTTATTGCTACCTGACTGACATGTTTATATTGCTTCTCATTTTTATTTTATTCTTCCACAAGCTGATGTGTCTGAGATAATTTGTTCCCTTGTTATTGCACACACACCATCTTGATTTTGTCTCATAACAAGTATGATACTAGGGATGCGCAAAATTTTTTCTGACCTTTTTATCAACTTTGCATCGACAATTATCACAAGTTGATCAGGATCCTATATTCCTAGTCTTGTGGTATATCTAAATTCCAAGAATCTGAAAGTGTTTCTGATTGAGAATATTTCTGATATTTTATTTCTCTTTCTGCAATCTTACGTATCTGAATTTGTGATGTTGCTATCTTATCTTGATTTCCCTAACTTTCAGCTTCCTGCTACATGCAGTGCACGTCGTCTTGGTCATATTTGTTTATTTGGTATATACAGCAAGTAGTCATCTCGGCAGCCCAAAAGTCGTATACAACCACCTTATGAAGGTTGCTAGCAAATCAAGAGTATGTGATTATCCAATTTCACATACAGGTCAATCTTGTGGACCTGTAAGTGGGAACTATAAAGGAACTTACTTAACCATGTTAAGCTCAGGTGGCCTTGTTTTTGGAATTATCAACATTGTTGGAAACTTTGGAACCGTTTTTGTAGACAATGTAAGTTACATTTTCTAACATGTTGTTTGTTTCTGTACACATTCATCATAACCTTCACTTTTGAGTTGCTTTCCTTTTATCAATGCCCTTTAGATCTTTGTTCTCATTCTTATTTAGACTATGTCAGTGCTTAGAACTTTTCTTTTAATCCTCATTCTATAAAAAGTAAAAGAATATTAAAAAACAAATGCTTGGATAGAGATGTAATATGGGCTAAGGCAAGCTGACAGACATGGATTGGGGTGGCATGACACTCCACTGACCAGGCCAAGAAACCAAATCTGGTCTAAATTTGGCATGCAGCCCAAGGCCATGTTGGACTACGTAAGGTGGACCCTTGTTTTTCTGAAAATTAAAATAGGTTAAAAAATTTACATAAAAATTCAAAAATATAAATAAAAACAAAAAATATTTATTATCTTTAATATTATGTCTTTATTCGACATCCATCTAATCTTTAAGATAGATGGATACTTCTAATGTATTTTCTCTCATTTTTCTACCATTTTTCATTAATGACTCTGCTTACACTAAAGGCTGCTTCTGAGTGTTTGAAGGGCTAAGAATACCATGAACCACGGTAAAATGAATATAAATGTGCGTTTGTGTCTTTTACCATGCTAAAATATCAAAATTTTCTACTTGTAAGGACTTCATACACTTCTAATATCACTTTCTAAATAAAATTTTAATTAATTATAATTGTTTATCATGTTTTTCCTTTTATCAATTAGATTCCAAATATTTCTTCTTCCCTTATACTAATACCATTAGTAGATGGAAGCATAGAAATGCTAGAAACCATATAAAGATTCATGACTTATAGATTTCAAGCAAATAATTCAGGATCTACTGTTTTATTTCCTATATCAAAACCTTTTTATCATTAAACTGATATATTAAAATGTTTGGCACTTCTTGTTTCTATGTAGGATTTTAAAATGCAGGTAAAAGAATATAAAGGAGACTTCACTTGATAGAGTTATTTATATATATATATATATATATATATATATATAAGAGAAATATCGACTCAATTGTTTTCTCAAAATATTTGTCCATTGCATCAATTATCTTAGAAAACAATTAGAAATCTAATAAAGTTTTGACATACTGTCAATGAAGTGCAATCGTAAGTGACAAAAAATATAATGTCAAAACATAAAAATAAATTTAGCAATGGAAATATTAACAAAACAACATCCAATCACATCTATCAAGGGTTTTTTTGTACATAACCTACAAGAGATGCAGAAATCACATCTTCGTTATCTATGACATTTCCTAACATGTCATGACCAACTGGTTAATAAGATGTTACTGCACCTTTTCTGTTTATCACTATTAAACAGGTTGCTGGTGAAAAAATAGATATGACTGTCCTGTTGCTATCTGTGACAGTTCAATGGCTTCTTGTTATTATCTACTTTCCAATTTGGAATTTTTTTTCTATTTTTATTTGGTAGATTGTTAAGCTTGATTGACATCATTGACAATTTAGCTACTTGGTTTATTAGTCAAAATATGAAAGATATCTTGAAAGTCCTCATATTTTTCTGTGCTTCAGGGATATTGGATGAGTGCCATAGCTGCAAGACCATCATCTACCCACAAGGGATATTTGTTGGGTGGGCTTGTTTGGTTTGCTGTACCATTCTCTTTGGCAACATCATTGGGATTAGGTGCACTGGCTCTTGACCTTCCATTAACAGCAACTGAAGCTGCGAAAGGCCTTGTTCCTCCTGCTACAGCAACTGCCTTAATGGGAAAATCAGGATCAGTCCTCCTACTCACAATGCTCTTTATGTAAGTTCTAAGCTCCCTTTTAGTTTGATCTTCTACTTTCATAGGTTTGCAAGTGAATGCAGGCACTTAGTTCTCTAGTTCTTTCCTAATGGGCAACAGATATCTTGATTTTTGTGCAAGTCGGTGGCATGTCAACAAATTGCAGTTATATTGACAAATCTGTGTGGATGTTATAGCTTAATGTGTTATGCTTACATGAAAAATATCATCGCAGCCCAAAAAGCAGTGATAGACCAAGTTACTTGTTTAACTATTTTACTTATAATATTATATGGTTTATATTATTTCGTAGGAAAAAACCTTAAAGATAAAATTTGGTTAGCTTCTACATTTTATTTAATCTAAAGAAATTTAATACATATAATTGAAAAAATTCACATATGTTAGCATAAATCAGATTAGTAGTTAAGACCAAGGATCGTTGTTTTGGGTGCCAAACCCGTTTTGGCAATCTGTCGAACTAGTACATTTTGGTTAGTACTAGTGTATCGACACATAGTACACTGCTATGTATTGGTGTTTTGGAGAGGAAGACAAATAAAGGAGAAGAGAAAGGGGTGATGGAGGAATAGAGGAGCAAGGAGGAGCAAGGAGGAAGGAAAAAAGAAAAAGAGAAAGAGGAGAAGGAAGAAGAAGAAAGAAGAAGTGGAGGAGAAGAGGTAGGAGCATAACTGGGAAGAAGAAGGAACACGGGGCAACAATGTTGGTAGCGGCATCAACCAGTATGACCAAGGATTCGCGAAGCAGTAGCATCGAGAAGCGGTGGTGGCGGTACGGCATCGAGAAATGGTGGTGGTTGTAGCGGCGTCGGGAAGCAATGATGGTGGTAGCGACGACGTTGGGAAGCAGTGGCGGCGATAATGACATCACGAAACAGGTGTAGTGGCAGCAACGTGCAAGAAGAGGGCTCACGTTCGTGAGCTTTAATTTTTTTTTTCTTTTTTTAGTGCCGAGTTGGATGGACCCCATCGTTTTTTTTATTTTGACCATGATGCTCGAAACAGGGATGGTCTGTGTACCAACCCACACCCAAACCAGTATGTACCTTAAACCACCCACCACCCCCCACCCCCACCCTGCACCCCCCACTGTTTCCCATTTTGGATAGTACAGTAGTCCTTGGTTAAGACATTAGAATTTTTCGGTGCACAAAAATCCGAGGCTTCACAATAATGCATTTTATTTATAGGTAAACTAAATTGAGAAAAGTTTTGGAGGGTAAGGATTAATATCAAAAGAAGGATTTATGTTCAAAAAGCATACACAGTTCTTATGTGACATCGAGCACTAGAAAACAGATGAATGGTATACTTTGGTTGAAAATTCAAGTTACAGATTGCTGTACTTATGTCTGACATGTCTTACATAACATTTGAAACCTTCTATGAGAAAAAGTTGATCTAAAATGTATTTTCTTTGAATATTCAGCACCAAAGAACATCTAAGAACATAAGGTAATTGGGAGAATGAGAAAATGATGGATAATGTGTCTAGGATAAGGGTATCAGCTTCAGCAAAATAAGATCTAAAGGTGGATAATGAAGTGAGATGTTATGTTTATTGAATTTGACATTTCTGTTGGCATTAGGAGGGCTCAAAGTTCTAAGCCTTGTTTAGAAATATGGAATGCAACAGAGATTTTAGTTAATGAAACTATCAGTGACAAGTATTAATGTCGCAAGTACTCATTACAGATACTTCTGTTTATGTTCAACTCTAATCTTAGATCTACCAATCCGAATCAATCTGTACTTATAATTTTGAAACATCAACTTGATATTACATTGTGTTCAACAGAACTAGTAAGTAATTATGCATCTTATATCAAGGTGATAGTTGAGTTATTTTGAATCAGTTGTCAATACCTAATCAAATTTCAGGAGAAGTTGTTATTTGAAGTGATATAGGGCTGAGTAGGAACATCCCCTATTTGAGATGATCAAATTCCTATTTCTTTTGGTAGGAATAAAAAGGTGATATAAAAGTTATTGGATAAAAATGTCTGTACCGTGTCTTAGAGCCTCCTATTGACAAAAGTAAGTGAGCAAACTCACAGACTGACTGTTATGACAGAACTTCATTTTGGATCTGAGTGAGATAGATTGTGCAAACCCACAAACTCAGTGATTCTTTTAGAATCTTTTGCAATTTATTAACTGATCTGGATGTCCTTTGCAAATTGTAGTTAATTTGTATTGAATATCACTTGATTCAGACAGATTTTTTTAGAAAATTGGAGCATAATGTATTCTACATGGTAAATGATCTTATCCACTCTTATAAACCTCTAATTGTGTGGAATAATATGAATGGATCAGTTATAAGACCATGTACATAGTGTTAGTTTGTAATAAGTTTTATTGTTCAAATTATCCTCTATTCTTTATCAGTTTCACAGACATGATTGGTATTATCACTAACCGTAATGATCATACTCAAATTGTTACCCTATGTTTTTTTTTGGAAAAGAAAGAAAGCTAAATTGATTTAAGTATCAAGAACAACAAGGTGAGCTGGGCAGTCAGCCGCAGGATACAAGAAATGGGAACCTTGGGATCTCCTGAAGTTTGCCAAGGGATGTAGCAGAAATGGGAACTCCTGAATGGCTAACAAAATTACTAACAAAATGGGAACCTTGGGACCTCCTGAATGGCTAACAAAATTACTAGCCCTAGGGATGTAGCAGATGTCTACAACCTTGAGCTTGGCAAGAAGAGGAAAAATATCTTGAAATAGGTTCCGCAAATACCAGGGAATTGGTGAAATTGCCCTAACAATTGTTACCCTATGTGTTAAAGGTAATTAAAATTAACAAAAAATAGCTTTTAAGTGAGTGATTGACCTGACTTAGATATTTATGTCATAAGCAACCCTGAGTTTGCATTGTATAAGATATTACGAGCATATTGGAGTTTCTAATAAATGGACATTGCCAATTATTTGTTGCAGGGCTGTGACTTCTGCTGGCTCAGCGGAACTAGTGGCGGTTTCTTCTTTGTGCACATATGATATTTACCGGACATACATAAATCCTGATGCAACTGGGAAGCAGATACTCAAAGTCTCCAGAGGGGTTGTCCTTGGTTTTGGATGTTTCATGGGTGTTTTAGCTGTAATCTTGAACAAGGTTGGAGTTTCTCTTGGATGGATGTATCTTGCAATGGGAGTAATTATAGGCTCAGCAGTGATGCCTATAGCTTTGATGCTTCTATGGAGAAAGGCAAACGCACTTGGTGCTATTCTTGGAACAGTCATTGGTTGCATCCTAGGAATAATTACGTGGTTAGCAGTGACAAGCATAGAATATGGCCGTGTTAATCTTGAGACTACTGGTCGGAACGCTCCCATGCTCGCTGGCAACCTAGTAGCTATATTGACTGGAGGATTTATTCATGTTGTGTGTAGCATCTTGTGGCCCCAGAAATATGACTGGGGAACTACCAAAGAAATAACATTGGTTGAGCAGGTACAGAGTGATTTGCCAGATGAAGAGTTTAAGGAGGAAAAGCTTTTGAGAGCTAAGGGTTGGATTGTGAAGTGGGGCATAGTTTTCACAGCTATCATCGTGATCATTTGGCCGATGCTTTCACTTCCAGCAGGTAAGAATATCTGTATCTCCACCTTTACTTCTTGGTAAGCTAAAATTACAGAGAGTCGAGGATAATATTTTTTGACTTTGCTAAGTTGTAACTTCTAAGGTAAATTTTAGTTACCAGCATATTGATTCAGACCTATAGCAATACCTTTAAAAATTGAGACACTTCCTTTCCTTCAACATTGTATACAAGTTTAGAATAGACTCAACATTACTTTTAATCTGGTAGCACATGTTACAGAATTTTCTTTTTGGTTTCATCAACTCAAACTGGCATATGAAATTATGGGTCTGACTCGTCATGTTGGCCGAGTTCTGCGGTAGTACCTTATTAGCATTATACATGTACTTTTCTCACTGTCTAGTAATGCAAAATCAATTTCCGATCTCTCTTAGATTTCTTTCTTGCAAGCGCTGCAGTCCTTTGACAATCTTACCAAGTGACAGTGCCAATGACACAAAAAAGGCAGTCTATATCTAAAGACATCATGGTTGGAAAATTTTATCCTCAATGTTGAAGAACTTATATGATTTCACTATATCTGTTAATTTCATTTTATTTTCATGCAGGAAAATTCAGTTTGGGCTACTTCACGTTTTGGGCAGTGGTTGCCATTGCATGGGGTACCATTGCCTCTGTAGTAATCATTATCTTACCTTTAACAGAAAGCTGGGGAACAATTGTACGTGTCTTGAATGGCATGTTAACCAATGACGCCATGATGCAGAAGGTAGACGAAATGAATTCCCGACTGCGCGCCATCATGGTGACGATGCCAGAAGCTGAGAGATACTACTTGCTGGAAAAAGAGAAGACCAAGAAACTTGACGGTTAGGAATCAGTTTGTGTGGTTCCGCTGCAGTAAAAGTTCACCAAACGATCCAACCTTTGTGGATCGTTTATGGTCGAATTAGTTGAAGCTCTGTGGCTGTGTGTTTGTTCCACATGTCTTTGTGCTGTTTGAAGTGGTGTTGAAGATTTGGTATGTTCGCGTGCATGTCCCTAGTAGTGTTAAAGATTTGTGTTGATCTACAATGTTCTGACTAATAGAAATGAATATTTTCATGTAACAAACATTTTGGATACGTCTGACTCTTATAAATGCTGTGAATGATCAGTTGGAATCTTGGACTTCATAGGTCGAGTTAGAATTTGAGAATGACCAAGTCTTTTCTTCAGGTGTAGCCGAAGTTAATTGTGAGGATTCGTTGTGGTAAGCACTCTCGATTAAGTTCTTCTTTTGCAATTAACTTACTGAGCTATCATGCACAATTTTTGAACAGATACATCCACGATTAAAACATAACTTATTTGATAGATGAAGATGTGAATACACGGGGAAAGAAAGAAATACTGATGTAGTTCAGAAGATAATTGATCAATGCATCACTAGAAGATGGCACTCGGACAGGAGGAGTCTACGCAGCTGCAGCAGCCTCTTCTAGCAACTGCTTGACCTTAGTGATGTAGTCGCTCATGGCGTCCTCCTTTGATTTGCCTGCAAGTGATAAACCTAAGTAAGAAAGAAGCTAGGCATTTGAACAGGGAGTGAAAGATTCACAGTAGCTTCTGAAACCTTCAACAGCCATCCAAGCGTCCCACTTTGCTCTGTCCCTCTGATTGAACACACCCGGGCGACCTGCAAAACATAGGGCTCAAGTATGGACCGATTTTTGAAACCAACGCGCACCTGGGTGAACTCTATCAAGTAAAGAACATCTATTGGAACAAAAGGTTGTAGTAAGTCATGTATTGACAGCAAAAGTAATAGCATTCAAAACTCAGAATGCATGCACTAATGAGGCTCAGTGCCCTGTATACCCAAGAAACAAGATGTCTAAACTGCATAAATTTCATTAACCGTTCATTATATGTCCTAATGAAGGGGAAAAACATAATTTTATTATGCAAGTCCTTTTCCTTTACATTGAGTAAAAGAGTGAAAATTTTTAACTTGAAAAAACACAGCCTAAAACGAAATGAAAATTTTTAACATGTAAAACAGTGAAACATGAAAATATTTGACTTGAAGAAAACACAGCCTAAAATAACAATTTCCAGATAGAGATCAAATCTGCATATTGATAGGATATTAGCCTCTCATCAAGGATCTTCTCTTCCAGGGAAGAAGATATTCTCAAAGGGAGGAATAAATAGTGAAGGTATTTTCATATGGAGATGAAGTTTTTGTACATGACTTGATTGTGCTATACAAGGATAGCATGTCAGATCAAATATTTTTTCAGACATGATGAGAAAGAAAATGAGACAGTCAAGAAGAGAATGACACAAATACAAAGAAATCAGGAAGTTGGTATTCATAGGATTGCACAGCATCACTTGATACCTACAAAACTACAGTTGAAAATATTACAAACACAAATTATAATGGTAGATTTATCTGTAACAATGAAAAGATTGGACAATTTGTCAGGTGGCCTGGTTTATAAGATTTGTCGCTTCAGAAAAATCACTTAATGCCTAGCAACATTAAAATAGCAAAATGTAGGAAGGTAAACATAAAGTAACAAGTATGTGGAAGAGTTATCTTATGTAATAGTACAAAACTGACAAGTAAATTTTTTAACAATTTTAGCTTCACTCATGGTACTAATAAGGAGGCCTACAAGCACAGACATGTTATGGACATGTGCACAGATAGGAAACGGTGGTCAGAAGGGGTGAAAGAATTCCTGTTAGTAATATATACTCAAAAGAGCTACATCAGATAGTGAAATAATCACTCATACTAATAAGGAGATCGACAAATTGTACGAGCATGTGGCTGATCCCAAATAAATTCTATTAGAAGAGGTCACCAATCGTGGTAGTCAAAAAAGGTAAAATAAATAATGTTAATGATATATACTCAGATATAAAACCTAGATGCGGTAGTTAGAAGAGATGAGAAATAAATTCCTGGTAGATGAGAAGTAGAAGAAGACCTTAAAAAACTCTTTAACAGAAACCATAAAAAAATTCAAATACTCTTAACTTGACTAAATATATGGCTCTTTACGAATCTCAACGGCAACAAAAGATTTATGTAGCCAATCTCAAATAATTGAGACTCCATTGCTAAATCTATATATGACTGAGCAGCCTGATTAATTGACAGATAGGATCTTTGATAAAAAAAATATTAGAAAAGATAAAGCACAAGAAAACTGCAAAAGTGGCAATGAATATAGGCAAAATGCTGTTCAGCATTGTCTCCTTGAGGTTAAACAGTGGGTAATACCATGCAAGTATTTGGAGTGTCTTGGGTCACCAGGGCTTAGGCAGGTTCAGGCCCAAATATAGGTATCATAGGGATCGGATAATTTCGATGCATGTTATACCCAAGAGATTGAAGGAAAAAAAGCATCATGCAATTTCATATTTTGCCACTGCCAAGCATGACCAGGTAAACACAGTTCAGAGGATTTGAAACATAGCCCAAAGCAGGAAATGGTAAAGGAAGCAGCTTGATGGGATAAATGTAAAGTATGACATGAAAACATGAACAAACATAAAGGATGCCGTCTCAATGTTTAGTCTATATCATCCATTTTGGTTTAGGATAAAGGTATGCCTTATGAATGATTATAGCAATCCTGCACCGGTGCCTAATTTTGGAAATAACAGAAGAGAATTTTTCTCAAATAATGATATTGCAATCAAGACTGACGTGGTATGGCCGCTATATTTTCTAGGGTTAAGAGCAGATGAAAGGTTGCACCTGCAATATCTGTCAGAATTCAGATCATCATCTACCAACTTCATATTTGACATTGCAAACACATAAAGCTGATGCTAAAATAACATAGAAGGAAATCTGTACATACTAGTATTAACTGGTCCAACAGTTGCTTGCTTGTAGAGACCGTAGAGAATCAGCTTATTCTCATTGGTCGTATTTTCAGGCAAGGTCTTTGCTTTCTCGGCATATTCTTCAAACTCCTCCTGCAACATGATGATAATTGCAGAAAGTGTTCATTATTACTATGACCACTTAAACATTAATGATAATAATTGAATGTTTATTCGATACACGCAAAAATATTGAGAACCAAAAAAAGAGAAAACAGAAAAACACAAATAATATTTTCAGAGGAAGCATATGCCAAGAAATCAATAGGTAGTAGTGACATGACAACCGTGCAAAGAGATCAGAAACAAACAACATTGTTAAGATCGATTTCTTGCCCCATCCGAGAAGGATAAAAAAAATAACATCTCTTCCATCCAACACAATCCCTACTCCCACACACACACACAGCAATTTATTGAACATATCGTGGGAGGATAGAATCAGCAGAAAATAGACCCACCAAATATTCAAGCGACCCAAAAACCAAATCTGATCTACGCCAGCAACAAAAGTCCGATCAGAACATACACTACCATAGCTGAAAGCAGACTGATCTCAACAAGATGCGAACTATCAAAGCAGATTGGGTAGGAATCTACACATGGATCCGAAAAAACAAATCGCTAGGATATTTCCCGCACCTTCAAACCCATCGATCGGCCGCGCCACTTCCTCTTCTCTGCTTAGGCTTCAGTCGTTTTATGTTCGTTTGGGAGCGAGTCCGCACATTTTATAGTCGCACAAAAAAGCCGTGCTTTGGTTTCTCCGAAGCTGTGAGCTTTGATACACGCAACAGCATCTATAATCAGAGGGAGTTGGGGCGGGTGGCTGTTAATGTCAGTGATGGGCGCGTCAAGTCACCGTCTAATCTGCCAATTAGCACTGGCGGTTGGAGTGAGCCGTGTACATTTAAGTTGCATGATGGAGATAACATGACGTGGTTCAACGCAATCTCATGCGTTCGATCTTTATCGTGTGGTTTATGAGTTGTTCTTCAGCCTCGTGACAGACACATCAAAGTACAACGCCAACGCATATGCCCGTACACTGACATTTACGAAGAGTTATGGAATGAGTTGGGATTTCACAAACACAAATGACCGACATCTTGTTCTCTTTCCTGAATGAGCGACATAAGTTATATTGATTCGACTTTGATACCATACCTAAATATTAAGTCGATTTTGATATCATTACATTAATTGACTTATAATTTCATTTGATCTAATCACTAATCAAAATATTTAAGTTAAAATTATCATAATATACTCATCAAATCTTTATAAATTAATCTTAATCTTTATCCATTTTCAATGTAAAACTAATTATAAGTATTACAATCGTAAATAGTGATGTTATAACCATAATCTTGAATATAATGATTCGATAATTATCAAAAGTTTTAAGCTAATCGTGCCCAATAGTTTGACTGTGATACAAGTTAGAAAAAATCTCACTGTTATCTTCCATAATTCATGGTCATTTAAGTAATACCAATAATAATAATAATAATAACATTATATTATTCAAACATAAACAAAGATTTGAGTATGATATTTATTTATTTTTCATAAAACAGAAAAGTGAATAAGATGAATGTACTTCAGAATATCTGTTTGGATATATAATGCATCTCAAGTTATACGTCTTTATCTATCTATTCCAACATCCAAATTTTAGTCAGCAGTAAATCTGTTGTTTTATTGGTGCAAAGAAAAAGAGGAGTAATTTTAACGATATTTCGAATCTACCTTTACTAAATAACTACAACGAAAATTCAATATATTATGTGTTTATCATAAATTATTTATACTATTATAGTTCAATATATGACCACTTATTCATATTAATCTTTTACTTTTTCTTTTATGTCACGTATCATATAATAAGTTTCTCTTTTCCTTTGCAATACTTATATTATCAAAAAAATAAAATATTATTAAATATTAAAATTGACTACTGTTTCCTATTATGTAAAAAATGTTATTTTTAAAAATTATAGTATTCGGTATAAAAAAATTCATTTTATTAAAACCTTAATGGAATATAATCCTATTGAAAGAAAAACTATAGTCACTCGGATTAGCATTTGAAAGTTTGAATATGAATTACTCTCAAATTATTTATCTCACACTTTGTCTATCAAGAAACCAAATAAAAACTATAAAGAGGATGCCAGTGATATTTAAATCATGAAAAAAAATTTATATTCCTAACATATAAGTTTGAGTATATACTATGTTCGATCAAGGTGTCTAAAAATCTCAAGGAGATGGAACATCAATGAATATGTATAATCTGAGCAACTATTTTATTATAAATACAAAATTAAATAATGACTACTATATAAAGCTGATCAAAATAAAAAGGATGATCAAAATCGTTATACCAACAAAGGACGAAGTTGAAGCTAATGCTAGTTTAAAGAATGTGATGTGGAAGATGACTATAAGGTCATCGTCATGCTATTAAATCGTATTATAATTACAATGCTTATGGTCATTCTCCTATCCAAGAACATATAAATTATATTGACTAAAAAGAAAATATTCCATGGGCTTACGACACAATAAATTTTGTTTTTTGATAGTACATAGCACTTCAATATTGAATCATTTATTATAAAAATAAAATTTGGAGATGATTTTATAATTAATATTAAAGACAAGGTTAAAATACCTAGTTTTACATATATATCGTTAATGTTATTTTATATGTCTAAATTTAAAAGTAATATATTGAGCATGGAACAGTCGGTGAAAAAATATTATGAAATTAATCTGAGAAATAATCTTTGTAAAATTAAGGAGGATAAAAATCAAGTCATTGCTACTATTGAGATGATATAAACTAGAACGTTTCCTTTGTATATTTGTAGTGATAATTATACTTGTTTTAGTTTAATTATTAATATTAATATTATTAATATTAAATAAGTACAGATAAAAAACATTTTAATCTAGAAGAAAAAAAATGGTAGTAAAATTAAAATTAAATTAAAATCCTTGATAAAATTAAACATTCAAGCCAAGATGCAACCAAAATTATAGGAATAGATGGGTAGTAAGCAGCATTGCTATGTAACATAGAAAATAGGGGGAAAATCAATAGACATAGTAGTGTAAAATATAATACTAAAATATTAGCATAAATAGATGCTAAAATCGAAGCCATAAGAAAAGTAATAAATATATTTAGCATAAATAAATACTTTTTTATCTATGCATATTTTAAAAATTTTAAATTATTTCAAATAGATATTAAAAATATTTTTCTTAATAATTTTATTTTCAAAAAGGTTTATGTTGAGTAACCATTTGGATTTGAAAATGATCTTTTCTCAAACTATGTTTATAAATTATCTAGTACTCTCTATGGGTTGAATTAAGCCCCTTGAGCTTGGTATGAAAGACTTAGCTCATTTTTTTTTTAAATAATTTAAAAAAAATAAGATCGACATCATATTAATTATTAAATATTTTAATAATAATTTTTTATTAATTTAAATTTATATTAATAATAATATTTTTTAGTTTTACTAATGAATCTTGAATCATTTACTAAGAGTATGAGCCAAGAATTTGAAATGAGTTTAATGGGTGAACTGATATTTTTCTAGGATTATAAATTAAATAATTAATTGATGATATTTTCATTAGTCAAACCAAATATGCCTATTAATATATTAAAATAATAAACATCTCTACTAAATTAGACTTGAATAATAAAAGAGAATTCTTTGATAAAAAATATATAGAGGCATGATAGGTATTTTACTATACTTGTCACTATAAATAGCTTACTACAATTAGACCTGATATAATATTTAGTAGTGGACTTTGTAATAAATTTTAGTCTAATCATAAATAATCTCACTATAAAGTAGTAAAAGAAATTTTTAGATACTTAAAAGGAATACCTGATTTAGAATTATGGTATCCTAAATCCAAAAATTTTAATTTGATTGTTGATGCTAACTTTTTATAATATAAAATAGATAGAAAAACTATCTCTAAAATGTATTAGTTCCTAGGTCATCCAAGAAGCAAAACTCTATCGTACTATCTACCGTTCAAGCTGAATATGTTGTGGTAGATGTATGTTATATGCAAATAATTTGTACGAAGAACACTTTAGAAGATTATGAACTCTGCCTAAAAAATATTCTTATAAAATATGATAATATTAGTGTAATTTATTTGACAAATAATTCTATTCAACACTCTAAGATTAAGCATATTGATATTATATATTATTTTGTTAGGGATTATATTAGCAATCATTATATATTCTTTTAATTTTATTGATATAAAATATCAATTAGTAGATATTTTTGCTAAACCATTGAGTGAAGAATAATTTGATTTTTTTAGAAGTGAATTAGGTATGTTGAATTTTTCAAATGCATGATTAAAATCCTTTGCTATTTGTTTTCGATTCTTTCTTTTTATTAATAACTAAATGAGAGATTTATCCAAATGAATTATGATCATTCACTTGACTTCTCCGTCTCCATAACTTGAGATATTTTGTGACTAGTTTATATTTATGACTTATATAATCTATTCTTTTTGTTGATGACAAAGGATAGCAGAATTAACTCATATTTTTAATAACCAAAGAGAAGAAGTAACTTTTTTTTTTTTTTTAGTTTAATGGCCAAAGGGGAGTAGTAATGATTCATGCCTAGATTATATATGGAACAATGAAACCAGGAGACTTATGATACTTTTATAACTTTTTGTTAGTAATAAATCATGTCAAACTTTTGTTAAATATTCTTTGAAATTCGAAACTAGTGTAATTATTTGGGCTTGCAATGATAATATTAATAAGATTGAATTTGATTTAACCTGAATTCAAGACTATTATTGAAAGTGTATTATTTTGAATTCAAGTTTATCATATTTTTAAAATGATATATAGATAGAAGGAGTCTTGTTAAGACCCATCATCAATTGGCCTCTTGCTATCCATAGCTTTAACTTATCCTTGATGACATAATATTGAGATTTTTTATGTTCCATGATATCAAAGTAATCTTTATTTTTATTCAGTGAATAATATAAACGGGGAGAAGTAATATCATAATATCACTCTCTTTTTTTTGCTGATGACAAAGGAGGAGAAACAGTAACTCATATTTTTTATTTATGGTAAAGAAAAAAATAGTGACTCATGCATAAATAGGAAGAATCATAATGTCTTATATTTTTTTTATTATTATATAACTAACAAAAAGTTAACTTATAGTTATACTTCGAATGACATTATACATTGAAATTTGAAACTTAAAATAATTATGATTATAACTTGAAATTTAAAACTTGATTTAACGTTGAGTTTTGGGTTTGAATGATTGAATCATAATATCGACAAGATCAATTTTATTTTAACTTGAATTCAATATAAGTATTTAAAATGATATATGATCATTTGAGTTCAAATTTATATAATATTTTAAAATGATATATAGATATAGGAGTATTGTTAAAACATCATCATCAATTGGTTGTCCTTATCAAAAAGAGGAGGATTGTTGAATCCTAAATTTTGATAATGAAATCAATTGATGAGTTTATTAGACTAATTTATTTTTGAAATAAGTGACGTATGAAATATTTCGATTATAGACTTGGATCATGGAAAGGCCAACTATCGAGTAAGAGAATCAAATGTTGCACCAATAGATCATTATGTCAAAATTAGACATCGAGCCAAAAGATTGGTTAATATATT